GGTGACCATGAGAATTCTAGTATATGTGAGTTGAGGGACTACTGTCTTATCCCTGTTGGAGGTAATTAGGAAAAGATGGAACTAGAGTTAAGAATGAAGAAGGATGGTAAATAGTAATAGAGGTTTTCAAAATATAATTTTGGGAGAAAAAAATGGATAAAGGATGATAAAGCTGGGTCTTAGAACTGCAAGTGGGTATGTGTGTGAGGCAAACTGAGGGACTGAAACAAGAGATGGGGCCCTGGACTCTGGCAGGTGGGGGCCTGGGGAGGTGGGTTATAGGATTGGGAATTTAGGAGGTAGAAGTGGACAGTCCTGAGTTGTCATGAAATCAGAAAAGCTCTGAAAACTAGGAAGAAATACATAGTTCAACAGGGGAGGAAGACATTAAATAATCACAAACATGTAAAATTGTAGCTATTAGAGCTCCGTGTACAAAGGAGAGGTGTATGTTGTATTTTTCTGTGTGGAAACAGTGGCCAAGCTTAGATCTAGGAGCTGCCTATCACCTTGCAAGGTGCCAGGTACCCCACAGCCAGTGCCCTCCAAACCCTCGCCAACTGTTTATAAGGTGTCAGTCTTTCTGAATCAGTGTATCAGAAGGGAGGCATGTAGTGTTAGTGGCTAGCCATGACTTTGGGTCATTAGGAAGGTAATTGCCAGTGTGGTCTTAGGACCATTTACCCATTTGCTTGTTGGCATGAATCCAGGATCTTTGACGTGGGGGCAAACAATAGAGAGAGAGAGAGAGAGAGAGATGTTTTTTTAAGATGGTTTCATGAGTCTGGGTAGGTTTCACCTTAGTCTAATTTTAGCTGCCTTAACATTTGTGAATCTAGGTGATTTAGTGGGAAGATCTTGAAGAGGTTCTAAGAAATAGAATTCATAAGTACTTTAAAAAAAACTTTGTAATTATCTGGAATCTGTAAAGGACTAATAGATTCACATTGTTATATTTATATCACACTGTTGAACAAATACATACTGAATTAATGAACAGGAAAATATTACATATGTATAAGAAGCTTTGAGAAACCATAAACTTCTATTTCAGCACATTTATGATGCTATATTTCAACTAGAATTTTGGAAAACTTTTTTTTTTTTTACATTAAGCATGTGTTTTATTTCAAGTTGTCATGTGGTCGCTAATGTAAAGCATTTAAATTTCCTTTTATACAAGAGCTGTGAAGTAACAGGGGGAACTAATAACAAAAACCTGGAACGAATCCAGTCTTCTCCACTTCAATGAATGGTAATTCCATTCCTCCAGATGCTCATCCAATTAGCCAAGAAATTCCTTCAGCTTTTGAACTGTACATTAAGTTCAGGTCTTTCTAATCAGCTGAGCTCTTCCCCAGGTCAAGTCACTATCATCTTTCTTATCTAGATTACTGTACTAGCTGGTCTTGTTTTCACCTGTGCCCCATGTACAGCCCCTTTTCCATCTGATAGAGTGATTCTGGAAAGAAAAAAAAAAGTCAGATTGTGTCAGTTCTGCTTCCAGGTTTCTTAGTTTACTAAATAATACCTAAACAAAATACCACAGTCCTAAGGATCTTACATGATCCTGGCCCCTGGCTAGCACTCTGACGTTATTTCCTTTTTAATTAATTAATTTTTTAGAAATATTTTTATTTATTTATTTGAGAGAGAGCTAGAAGAAGCACAAGCAGTGGGGAGGGGCAATGCAGAGGGAGAAGCAGGCTCCCAGCTGAGCAGGGAGCCCTATGTGGGACTCGATCCCGGGACCCTGGCAGAGGCTTAACCCACTGAGCCACCTAGGCATCCTGACTTTATTTCCTTTTATTCTCCTTCTTGTTTCCTATGTTCCAGCTATATTAGCCTCCTTGTTTGTTATTCCTTGATCACCTCAGGCGCTTCTTATATAAAATTCTCTTTTCCTATTGTCTCTTCCACTGGATATCAAATATTTCATTTTCTCATCTCTTTTAAACCATTGCTCAAATTCACCTCACTGAAGAGGCTTTCCCAGACCACCTTACATAAAATAGCACTTGCTTCCATCTTTCACAATCTATTTCCTCATTCTGGTTCATTTTTCTTTAGAGCACTTAGTACCTGATGTATAAAATATATTTGTTTGTCTCTCTCAGTAGACTGTAAGTTCCATGAGGGAAGTTTTTTTTTGTTGTTGTTGTTGTTCTTGTCCTTTGTCACATCCTTAGCACCTAGAGTGGTGCCTGGCATATATTAGGTCCTCGATAAATATGTATTTGAAAAAATATTTATTTGAGAGAGAGAGTTAGTGAGGGGGGAGGGAGAGAGAAGCTGAAGTAGACTCCACATTGAGCACAGAGCCTGATGTGGGGCTTGATCCCACAACTGGGAGATCATAACCAAGAGTCGGATGCCTAACCAACTGACCCACCCAGGCGTCCCTCAATAAATATGTTTTGAATGAATAAATCTTAAGTGCATTCTTGAAAAGAATACTTTTTATGAAAAAGTTGTCCACTAGATGGCATTGCTTTCAAACTTTATGTAAAAGTAAGGATCTCCTCTGTTGTTACTCTAGCCAGGAAAGATCTTTGTGATGAAGATTGTCACAAGAAATTGCTACACTGGGACGCCTGGGTGGCTCAGTTGGTTAAGCGGCTGCCTTCGGCTCAGGTCGTGATCCCAGCGTCCTGGGATCGAGTCCCACATCGGGCTCCCTGCTCAGCAGGGAGCCTGCTTCTCCCTCTGCCTCTGCCTGCCACTCTGTCTGCCTGTGCTCTCTCTCTCTGACAAATAAATAAATAAAAATCTTTAAAAAAAAAAAAAAAAAAAAAAAAAAAAAAGAAATTGCTACACTTAGTGTGAGGCATATAGATACTACATGTGTATTTGGTTTATGATTTATATACATTTTTAGATGTTTTTTCTAAAACACAAAATACTTGGAGAAACTGATTATAGAAAGCATATTGGTATATAAATAACCATTTGATACAGTTATTTTGCCTGGCAACTGTGAATAAAGTCACTTTGTGTTCATACATTGACCACCTTCCTTCTGAGGGGACTTAATGGAATGAGAGAGCAGTAATAAGTTCCAGAGCTTTTTACCACTCAAGGCACCAGTGGAAATTCAGCCTAGTGTTGAAGGCTGAAAATTATTATTGTCTGTTATTTGTTCAGTTGTTGTTGCCAGTGAGTTAGGTACTCACTGATTGAGGTAAGTACTCAGTACCTAATCAACCGGGCATCCAGTTTTGAAAGACTTCCATGTTTCTGGCAGATGTTGCCACACCTATCTTATTAAAAATCAGTGGGTCCCAAGCATCAGAATTTTTAGCTGACTTCCCTGGCTCCAAACTCAGCAAATAGTTGCCCTAATCAAGAAATTTACGCATTTTCCTCCAATCCTTAAAATGTGCCTGTCCTGCCCCTGCCAGTGTCATCTCATTTTCTCCTGCTTTCATCGCTTACCTCATTTCCTCCGTTATTCCACCCTGTTCGTCTCTCTCTCATGCACTTGCTCTGAATGCTCACTTGATCCATTTTGTTCTCAGTCTTTACACATCTTTTGGTAATTTTTCCTTTTCCTGTTCAACCTATTGATGCCTCCCCCCCCAAATCGTTTAAAATATACTTTAAAAATATTATTGACCAGTTTTCTCTCTTTATTTTAGATTTTTCTTTTTCATTTCTGATTATAATATATGTGAGGAATTTATTTTGTTAATCTCTTTAGCGTTCTCAGCCTCTTCTTGGGACTCATTAACTATCTACAAATGAAAACACTGTTCTTTGTACTTTTGCGCCTGTATTTTTATTTATTTAAAAGATTTTATTTATTTATTTGACAGACAGAGATCACAAGTAGGCAGAGAGGCAGGCGGAGAGAGAGAGAGGAGGAAGCAGGCTCTCTGCTGAGCAGAGAGCCGGATGCGGGGCTTGATCCCAGGACCCTGGGGATCATGACCTGAGCCAAAGGCAGAGGCTTTAACCTACTGAGCCACCCAGGTGCCCTGTACTTTTGTGTCTTTAAATGGAACATAAAGTATAGGGTGATTTTTGTGTTTATAGTCCTTTCTCCCAGTCATCCTTGGATGGTTAAGAATCAGGCTGATAAAGTATCATTTTAAATAGGAGGCAGTTATACTCAAAGATTTACACTTTTTTATATTTTTAACCAGAAACATTTGAAGTTTCTAGTACTGAGCTCCATGTCTTAAGCTATTAATGGTGATACTTGCATGTGTTTGGCCTTGTCACTCTCTTGCACTTGGCCTGCCCCATGCATTACAGCTGGCTTTGAGTTCAGAATGTAGAAAATCCTTTTTTCTCCACTAAAGAAATATTAGACAACATTTATTTGTTTAGAAGATAATTCTCTGGGGAGGGGAGAGGTAACAGGTGGTGGAGGAGTAGGGACCTAAAGATCATCTAGTCCCAAGAATTCAGCTAGGGAGTTATCAAACCATTCTGAGCACCTACAAACTCAACAGGAGATTGAGGAAAAGAATAGCAGCAATTCTATGAATGGAAAATAATGTCCTGTTTACAAAGAAGTTATTACATAGCATTTATTTTGTATATATTACATTTTAATTTAGAAAGCATGTTTTTCTGTTCTGAGACATGGAGACTTAACTGATCTTTGATTGTTAGAATGACAGTATTATATATTTGTTCAAATATATTTCTTTCATTCATGATGAAATAACTTTCTTATTTACTAAACATATCTTATAGCTGCTAGTCAAATTATCATTTATTAAAAAACATATCTATTCCTAGAAAGATAACCCTCAGATACATTGTTGCTTACTTGACATTAAATGAGATCTGAAAGCCCTTGCTGGTCTCATGCTCTGGCTGCTGACCTTTTTTAGTGCTTATAAAGGAAGGTTTATTTTGCTTATACCTGCTCTATTTTTGTTCCAGTGTTATAGCTTATGAGTTTCCTAAGTAAAATTCATTAGAAGTTCAGCATTATGGCCTTAAATATCATTAGTTATTTTCACTTGTGTTATTTTTCTCCCATACAGACTGGTTGAGATAGCAGAATCTCGTTTTCCCAGATATTTTGACACTGAAGAAAAATTGCTTTTGACAAGCAGTAAGGTTCATCTTTATCGGGAACTCAGCTGTGATGAAGTTCTACAAAGGTATGCTGCTTTAGATTTTGGTATTTTAGTAATACTTTGAAGATTTATTTTTTGTTTTTATGTTTTCAGCTGAGTGAAAAAAGTTTCTACATATGTATTAGGGTTATGGGAAATAATTATTTCAGAGTTCTTTATTTGCTACAGCCTATTGGATGAAACATTTCTTTAAAAATGAAAACATACTGAATGAGTGAAATGTTTTAGATTTAATTATTTTTTAAAAAAGATTTTATTTATTTATTAGAGAGAGAATGAGAGAGAGAGAGAGAGAGCATGAGAAGGGGGAGGGTCAGAGGGAGAAGCAGACTCCCCACCAAGCAGGGAGCCTGATGCAGGACTCGATCCTGGGACTCCAGGATCATGACCTGAGCTGAAGGCAGTCGCTTAACCAACTGAGCCACCCAGGCGCCCCTAGATTGAATTATTTAAGGGGTGCATTATTATCTATTTTCCATTAACAGGTTACCCCCAAAATTCAGCAGCTTAAAACAACAAATATGTATTATCTCACGTAGTAGCAGAGGCTTAGGTGTCTGGGAGTGGTTTAGTTGAGTGTTTCTGGCTCGGGGTTGCAGAAAAGGTTGCAGTCAAGCTGTTGGCCAGGGCTGTGGTCATCTCAAGCTTCAAACGGGGCTGGAGAATCTTAGAGAATTCCAGGGTCACTTGTGTAGTTGGCTGGAGGGCCTCCCTTCCTTGCTGGCTGTTGGCCAGAGTCCTCTATTCTTCACCATGTGGGCCTCTGCATCAGGCTGTTAATAGCATGGCAACTTGTCTCCCTGAGACAGAGTGATCTGAGAAAGGGGGCAAGTGAGAGAGAGCCCAGGATGGCAGGTGTAGTCTTTTGTAACTTACTCTTAGAAGTGACATACCATCATTTTGTCATATACTGTTGGTTATATAGACCAACCCTGGTAAATGTGGGAGGGGACTGCACAAGGCTGTCAGCACAAGGTGGGAGTAAATGGGGACCATTTTGGAGTTGGGCTAGGAAAAGCAGTTTTATCCTAAAATTAGCAGTATCATAGTAGAACCAGAGAATGAAATTAAATGAAAACATTTTGGTGCATTTTCAAAAAGAGTGCTGTATGTATAGAAGGGCAGGACATAAGTTATGATTATTGAATACTAGCAATCATTACTGTAACTTAGGGAAGAACAGTTTGTTGTCATTGTTTTTAAGTTGGTTAATCTTTGTAATACCTGTTTTATATTATATCTTAAATTTATCTACTGTTTTGCAAATTCTGCTTTTATAGGATTGAATCTTTGGAAGAAGAAATTATTTCAAAGGGAGTTAAACTTGTAATTATTGACTCTGTTGCTTCTGTGGTAAGAAAAGAGTTTGATACACAACTTCAAGGCAACATGAGAGAAAGAAACAAGTTCTTGGCAAGAGAAGCATCCTCCTTGAAGTATTTGGCTGAGGAATTTTCAATCCCAGTAAGTTTTTTCTTTTTCTCTCTTTTCCCCTTGTTCTTTGTTTTCTTTTATGTTAAGTTCACTGACTTATAATATCAGCTAATATAAATAGAAGAAAATGTAAAACAGATGATGTGTTAAAGGTAGCATAGTCTAATTGCTATAGTAAACATAACCATCTTCTTAAATTCATTCATCTGTTGAGATTATTCTTTTTCACAGTTGGAGTCTGAAGCAGAATTAAATGTTGTTTGTAAAAGTTCCTGTATAGTCAGTCCTTTTCTCCATCTTGTTGATTCTCTGTGTACGTTTTGAATTACTTTTGTCACATCGAGGTAAATATTAACTATTAAAACTACATGAAATTGCCTAGGTCTATTTCTGTAGTTTCTTTTATGGCAGTATTTCTCAGTTTTATAAATATTTTAGGTTTAGATATTATGCTATTATGGTCGGTACTGTCTTGTACTCTGTAGGATTTGGTTTGCTCCAAATGGCCAGAGGTTGACTATCACATGTTATATTGGGAGTGATAGTAATGAAAGTGTCAGTAAGGGGATCTTGGATGATGACTGTTGACCCCACTTTCCATAGTGGGGACTGTGATGAGTAAATCTGAAGATGCAGGTATCTTGCAAATGTTTGCGGTAGGTAAGCTACAAGGTTTAAGTGCAGACTGATGGCTTTCCCAGTAGCAGTGCATAGGAGAGTTCTGCTTATTCTGCAGGCTCAACAGCATTTTGTATTGTCAGGCTTTTCAATTTCAGCCAGACATCATCTCAACAGAAGGTAAGAAAATTCCTTAAACTGAGATAAGATTTAATTATGATTTTATAATTTTTAGATTCGTGTTTTGGAAAATTAAAAGATTGGATCTTTGTAATGTGTACCAAGATGGTAAATTACCACACAGCCTTTGTGATTTATAAGCCCAAGCAAGAAGTCAAGGAAGAAAATGTGGCATATAAAAAGTTCTACATTTCTTAATGGCTTTTTAATTCATATTTTGGATTATATGATGTAATTCCTGGTGAAGTCAAGGGTTGTAAAGTTTATCCCAGATGACGCTCATCTTTTAAATTTTATTGTAGTTGGTTAAAATGATAAATCCAAATCCATGTTTTCCCTGGCCAAGGGAATTTGAAAAATATTTTGTAGGGTTACTTGATTGTTTGGAAAAGTTAAGTATGTATACTTATTTTATTAATTCATGCTGGTTGTTGACTTAATCCTATGTAAAATGTAAAAATTCATTTTTTTAAAAGTTGTATTTGTTTGCTTTTAAATAGTAGTTGTAGGCTAATATTTTTCAGTTTTTTTCTGAGGTAATTTATTTTCCTAAGTGAGAAAAGGGCTCTGCTTTTCTTCATTTTTATTAGTGCCCTCTGAAAGAATAGGTACTTATTTCCATATCTCTCTGTCTTTGCCTTTGTTTTTCTCTTTAGAGATAAAAGTGCAGATGTAATATGCACTTCGTAACACAAGATGGTAGTGGTTTTTGTGAAAAGTTAATATTAGTTTTAGAAGGATTTTGAAAAATAATTCCTTTGGGAAGTGTGGGAATTTTTGTAGCCTAATTACCACATTTAAATGAAAAATCATGAACTTTTAAGTTTTTAAGCTGTGCTTTGAATAGGTGACTAGACATGAACTAACTAGCTGAAAACAATATGTCGCTATGTAATTTATTCTCCCTTTCAAAATCGCAGACCATGTGCCTCTTTATAGTTCCTCAAACATTCCAACAAACATTCCTGCTTCAAAAAGTGTTATTTCTCCATCTGAAATATTTCCCCTCTAAATATCCATATGATTTCTTCTTTCCTGTCATCTTATTAATGAGGACTTTCCTGACCATGTAAGTATTAACCACATTTCCTGCCTTCCCATCTCCCTGTATGCTTTGTTTCTTCATTGCACTTTCACCCTCTAGCATGTTATATATTTATGTTGATTGTGTATGTGTCTCCTCCACCCCACAGAGTGGTCACAAGGACTGTCTACTTTCTTCACTACTTTATTCTCAGCAGCAGAAATAGTGCTTAACACAGAGTAGGTACTCAGTAAATATTTTCAAATGTATGAATTGCAGATACTGCTTTTTTCCTTTGACTTGAGTTAGTCTTCTATATATTGGCACTGTACTCAAGTTTTTAATATTTGCTTTTAGCTTTATTTTGATCCTATCTTTAATATTGTTTATTATTTCTGATAGTAATAAAATACAGTATTAGGTAGCAGAATGTCTTATCATATAGGAGCTATACTCAGATTACACTGGCATCTTATAGGAAGAAAAATAATTCTTAAGATTCTTAAGCTTGGGAACGTCTTTAGAGATCTATATAGTGTAAGAAAACCAGGAAGTAGACAAGATTCTACTTCAGTTTAGTAGAACTATGGTAGATGAATGTCTGATGGCCTCTGAGGAGTAGGCAGGAAGCCAAGCATTCTAGTCTGCCCTCTGGCTGTGAATCTGAGATGGTGGACTGGGCCAGGACCATGCCTGGGAATTTGACACTCTGGATATCATTTCATTCAAATAAGACTAAAGAGTAAAATCACCTTAGGTGATGGGATGAGTACTTAATTGAATTTTAAAATTTCTTTTCAGTGAACATGCAATACTTTTAGTAATGGGGAAAAGCTTAAAAGTGTAATCTATATTAAATTTGAATGCCACATTACATATGCTTGTATATGTTTTTATGCAAGGATGCCTGCATGCATGAAGATTTCAATATTCTCTCTTTGTGATGGATTAAATAGACAAAATGTTAGCAAATTAAATCCAGAAAGTCAGAAGACCTGAAAAACATAGCCAGCTTGATCTAATTGACATTTACAAAATGTATTCACCAAGATAGACAGTATTCTGGGCCATAAAATAAAACTCAATAGATTTAAAAGGTTGAAATGATACAGTGTATGTTTTTTGACCCACAGAAAGAATTAAATTAGAAATCACTAATACATGTCTGTAAAAATCCCCAAATATTTGGTAATTAAGCAAAAACACTTCTAAATAACCTATGTGTTGAAGAATAAATCACAAGAGAACTTAGAAAGTATTTTCAAGTAAATCAAAATGGAAATACAACATATCAGAATTTGTGAAAAGCGGCTAAGTCAGTGCTTACAGGGAAATTTATACAGTTAAATGCTTATGTGAGAAAGAAATATTACAAATCAATGATATAAGCTTGTAAGAACTAGAAAAAGAACAAATTAAACCCAACATAAACGGAAGGAAGGAAATTGTAAAGAGCAGAAATCAATGTAATTGTAAACAAAAGCAATGGAGAAAAAAAAAATCAGTGAAATAAAATGCTTGTTCTTTGAGAAGAACAATAAAATTAATAAAACTTTACCCAAACTGACCAGGAGAAAAAGAAAAAAACAAATTAGTAATATCAGGAATGAAAGAGGGGGATATCCTTATAGATCCTATAGACATTAAATGATATTAAGAGAATGTTATAAATAGCTTTATTCCATTAAGTTTGATAGCTGAGATGAAATGAACAAATGCTTTGAAAGACACAGAATACTTACTGAGAAAGAAATAGATAACTTAAATCATCCTATATCTGTTAAAAAATTGAATTTGTAGTTAAAAATCTCACAAAGAAAAGTCTAGGTCCAAATGGTTTTACTGGTAATATCCACCAAACATTTAAAGGAGAAATATCAATTCTATACAAGCCTTTCAGAAAATTTACAAGAAAACTACAGGCCAATGTCCATTATAAAAATGAACACAGACATCCTTAACAAATATTAGCAAATTAGATCCAGCAATAAATAAGAAGGGACTGAGTGGAGCTTATTTCAGGAATGCAAGGTAGATTTTGAATGCAACATTAAAATATAAAATCCATCACATCAACATATTAATAAAAAATCATCTCAGTAGATGCAGGAAAGAAAACCAGTCAACAAAATTCATCAGCTGTTCTTGATGAAAACTCTCAACAAATCGGAGTAGAAGAGAACTTTCTCCCCTTGATAAAGGGCATTTACAAAAACCTTCAACTAACATCATACTTAACTTATACTTAGTGGTAAAATACTATCCTTCTTCCCAAGATTAGGAGCAAGGATAAGATAGCCCAATCTTACCATTTCTAATCAGCAGTGTACTGTAGATCCTGGCCAGCATAATATGGCAAGAAAAATAATTGAAGTACATTCAGATTAAGAAAGAAGAAATAAGAGTGTCTTATTCACAGATCATATAATTTTAGTAGAAAACCCAAAGATTCTACACAAAAAAAGAAAGCTACTGGATCTAACAAGTGATTTTGCGGGATATGGATTATACAGAAATCACTTGTTTTTCTATATGCTAGTAATGAACAATTGGAAATGGAAATTGAAAACCTGTAACTTTTTATAAGAGCACCAAGAACATGAAATACTTAGTAATAAATATGACAAAATGTATATAATATTTTAATGCTGAAAAGTATAGAACATTCATTAGAGAAATCAAAGAAGACCTAGATAAGTGAAAACATATCATGCTCATGGATTGAAGATTCAATACTGTCAAGATGTCATTTCTTTCCAAATGACTGTATGTATTTAACACACATCCCAATCAAAATCCCAATAGGCTTTCTGGTAGAAATCAACAAGGTGACTGAAATTTATGTGGAAGAGCAGATGACTGAGAATAGCCAAAACAATTTATAAAAAGAGGAATATAGAGGACTTCCACTCTCTGAATTCAAGACTTATTATAAAGCCATAGCAAATAAGACAGTGTTATATTGGTGATAGGGTAGATTCCTAGATCAGTGGAAAAGAATAGAGAGTCCAGAAAATAAGTAGATTATGGTCTGTTAATTTTGAACAAAGAAGGTAAGGTAATTTAATGGAAAAGGGATAGTTTTTCAACAAACGGTGCTAGAACAATTGGATATCTGTTTGTAAAAAAACAAAACTTGACTAATTCTTCACACCATTACATAAACCTAATTCTAAATGGATCATCCACTGTAACATAAAACCTAAAA